CACCAACGACCACGTGAGCTAACGGAGCCTAGGAGGGTTAATTCTTTCATTGTGTACCTTAGTACTCAGCCACTGGGTTGGAAATTCAATGGTCTATATTCTTGAAGTTTTACCAATCGGTGATATAGAAACAACCATCTCCCAATGCCATTGGCGACTATTTGTCCTGACGACCAAACTGGTTATCTCTACAGGTCAGGCTTTCTCACTAAAATTTTCGGAAATCTATCTCGAAGAAAGTCGCTAGCAAGCATCGATTTGTAGGTTTCTGGGGAATATAGTAATTTTAAAGCTATGCAGTATTAACAAATTTTCACTGTTCCTCTGACTGTTGTCGATCCATAACAAAAACTGCACAAACATCCAAATTGAATATTCAATGAACTTAACCACCAGAGAAATTGCGAAAACCATGGTTCTAGACCTGTTAATCTGAGAAAGTAAACATGGACTGTATTCACTCAAAAGATTCAGACAAAGTTTAGAACGAGATTTTGACAGTTCATTTAAAGAATGGCTAACGAAATCATTATGGGAGCTGTTCTGTCGAAAAATAAATTCAATTGTTTCTGAAGTTAGATAAGTCTGGACAATGCTTCTTCCATGCCTTCAGCTTTATCACACAGCTTTCACTAATTGAGTGCCCTAGTGAACAATTTAGAACTCAAAGTGGTCACTGTATGATAAAGAGTGCTATACAGCAGCTTCTATTGGTAAAGGTATACCAGTCGCGACAAAAAATCCAATCATTGAGCCAATGGACCTGACTATTGAGAGGAATGCGTTTTCATTCGTTTAGTTTGGTAAACAAGTAACTTAATCTACAGCATAAAAAACAGTGCAGTAATGCAAGTGATAACGACAAAATTTCAAAAGTGGCGAAGAGTCATACTCCAACCATTCTAAAAGTTAGCGAAGATCCCCGAGTTTAGTAGACAAGCTACAAACATCACAAAATGTTAATACAGCTTATACAACAGGGTAGTTAGTATTACAAGACCTTATACATTAAGTTTGGTTCATGGCCTAATACCTGAACCTGTAGTGAGTAATGAGTCGTATGGCCCTTCTACTGTTGATATTGTTGTACGGTATCATAGACATGATATCACTGAAGTTACTTTTTGAGAATACGTAAGAGCAGAAAAATAATCACTGAATTTTCGTCTCTCCAAAACCTCGCCTAGGACGTTGAACAAAGTAGCACCGCCATGTCTCGTAAGAATTTTCCTTCAGACTAACAAATTAATCATAAAACATTCTGAGTGAACCACATGACTAAACAATATGAAGCTAACAACCAACTAGCAGTAAATCTCGATATATTAATCCCTCCTTTTAAATTATGCCAGTTGTTTGAAGCATCGAGGAGTACCGAGTACACGAAAGTTTTTTTACCAACGTTTGGTATGTAACATAAATATCAGTAGAACAAGGAGCATACCATATAACCACAGAATTCTGCTGGTTGAATCGAAACAATAACTTATAAAAATTTTCTAGTTTACTAGTTTTATATATCGTGTTTAAAGGATGCGTATTATGTAAAAGCTGAGGCAAAATTGACACCACAATCACTTCGATTCAGACAAATTAAACAGTCGAGGAATCACGCTAAGACGACATTTATAGGAACAGGCTAGTGAACTGATTTTAAAACTGATATTCAAGCAGTCAGATTATGTTGCAGAAGAAACTTTTATTGCCTAATATCAAACGATGAAACTAAAACGCACTCAGAAGTCTTCAGCACGTTCGGGTAGTCGCAACAAGCCATATCTATTCTACGAAGTTAATAATACTACCTGGTTGCCTAAACCTCGGAAGGCAGGGAGGTGTTCGAACCCATGACACACACTGGTCCTTAAAAAAATGAACTACAGCCTTACCACTACACATCAGTCTGATTATATCTGAATGCGAAGTATGGGCGGGTTGATCAAGCAACATAAAACAGTGGAACCAAGTGGTAACAGTTTACCGAATTAAGTTTAGCTGACGATAAATCGCCAAACAACGAACTGAGTGAACGTGAAAAAGATGATACCCTGGTCTCCAACTTAAAACAGGTGTATGCAATCAAATATATTCACTTATAAAAATAAATAACACTGGAATATATTAAAGAGATAATCAACTGGCAACAAATGATATCACAAAACTACCATTAGTTTAATACAAAAAACCATTCCGACATTACCGGAAATTCTAGAACATTATTATTATTTGTCACCTGGGTTCCTAGTGGAACATAGGGCTTCACTAGTACGTCTCCATTTCACTCTCTTCCCTGCAGTCTTTCCAACCTGGCGCCACCAATGCCCACAAGCTTTCATTTCTTCCTCACATCATTTCCTCAATGTCACCTTCGCCTCGGACGCCCAATCCGTCGTTTTTCCTTTGGATTCCACTCGATGGACTAGCCTGGCGCGTGATGTCCCCGGATGGTCTTATCAGTGTATGCCCAATCCATCTCCACTTTCTTCTGCATATTTGTTGGGTGATAGGTTCTTGGTTGGTTCGTTGTCAGGCCAGAGTGAGTTCCTTGTTGCTTATTCTTATCATTCTGGTCATCTGATCTTCAGTATTGAGTGACCGTAGACAGCAGCTGTTGACGTATGTCTGTAGTTTGTTGCAAATGCTTTTCGTAAGCCTCCAAATCTCTTAACCATCACATAGAAGCACTGACTTGACCGAATTAGTCTTGAAAATCCGGATCTTGTTCTTTGTGCTGAGTGCAGTAGATCTCCACACTGATTTCAGATTAGTGAAAGCCTGTTTTGATTTTCCGATCCTGGCTTTGACGTCTTCATCTGTGCCTGTGCCGCCTGTAGTTGAAACGATGCTGCCTAGATGGGTAGGTGAAAGAGACCACTTCCTTTAGATTTCTCCCGTTAATGGCGATTGATGCTTGTTGGTGGTGTGTCTTTATCACCTCCATCTTCTCCATATTCACTTGAAGTCCCGTTTTCGCTGTCTCTTCTGTCAACTTGTTAGTTTCTGCCTGTAGATCTTCGAGTTTGTGCGACAAGACATTAGACATTAATTATCATCGGCGAAATCCAAATCTTCTTCTGTGGTCTTTTCATCCTTCCAGCCAGCGTATGCCCATCTTCTAGCTCCCCACGGTTTGCTGCATAGTCCAGTCAACCACAATCAGGAAGATCATGGGTGATAGTAGGCAACCTTTGTCTTACTCCTGTCTTCACCTCAAAGGCATCACTGAGCTTTCCACTGTGAATCACTTGGCATGTGGCGTCTTCATATAGCTGTTGAATGAGGTTGATAAAGATTTGTGGCACTAAAACCGTAGTGTTGGAACAACTGCCAAATTACTTCTCGGTCGATGCTGTCGAAGGCCTTTTCAAAATCGATGAAGTTGAGGTAGAGAGTTGACTGCCATTCTAAACTCTGTTCTATGATGATGCTTAGCGTAGCGTTGCGTTGCAATTTGATCCACACATGATTTGTTCTCCCTGAATTCAGCCAGCCTGTTCCGGTCGTAGTTTTGAATCCAGCGCATCCTTTAGCCTCTCCAGGATGATGCGGCATAATATTTCGCTTGCTTCGGGTGGACAGCAGAATGATTCCACGCCAGTTCTTGCAAAGACTTAGGTCACCCTTCTTTGGGCGTTTTATAAGGTAGCCCTGCTTCCAATCACCAGGTGCCTTTCCTTCCTTCCAGACCTTCTGCAGTAGTGGTGTGAACATATCCGCTGTTGTCTCTGTATCTCTGTCTCCAGTGCTTCTGGCGGAATTCCATCTGGTCCTGCTGCTTTCCCGGATCGCCTACCTGCAGCCTGTTCTGCTTCACTTGCCAATGTGTCTTAGAAGTGTATTTTGTCTTTGCGTGCACTCTTCTTCACTTCTTTGTCCAGTGTTTTATACATTGTGCTCAGTTCCTCTTGTCGTTGGGCATCCTTGCACTGGTTTATCCTCTGCTTCACCATCCTCCTCTCCCTGCTCTATCGGCTTCCATGTATCCGCGAGATCCATTCCTTGTCTTGCCTCTTCTTCTTCCTTCCTTATACGGTCATGCAGGTTTCCTTCCACATCTCTTTCAAAGAGTTCCAGTGTTCTTCCACACCCGATCCTTCAGGGGTGTTGCTCAATGTCTCCCATTTTGTCCTGATTACTGGCTGATGTGAAGATGTCTTTTGTAGTTCCATCCTTCAGTTCAGTTTCTGTTCTGTGTGTTGAACTTCAACTGTGGTCTATCACCGGCTTCTGTGAAGGCTTTCAACTTGATTTTGAAGGTTCTTTGCACTATGTAGTGGTGTGAGTGGTGTGGACCTACATCTGCTCCCCCTCTTGATGTGATCCTGTGTCCAGTAGGCTGCGTCTCCACTCTCTTCACATTGAGATGAAGTCGATCTGATTCTTAGTGTAGTGTGTCCTGGTGTCTGGTGAAATCCATGTTGCTGCCTTGTGAATACCCTTGTGTGTTTGTACACAGTGTCTCCAATCACCGAATCATTGAATGCGCAGAAATCCGCAAACTGTTCTCCATTCTCATTCTTCATTTCACCGAGTGCTTTTCCACCCATGGTTGGTTCTCTTCCTGTGTTGTCTGCTCCGAGTTTGGCATTCATGTCACCCCACCCATTAGAATGGATTGTGATGTCGCCATCTGGGGTGGGTGGGGTCTTGTCCAGTACTGATTGCAATTGTCTGTAGAATTCCTCCTTCTTCTCTTCATCTGCATTATTTGTAGGTGCATAGTGTAGCATTGTATGCTTGTGACTTTCCTTCTTTTTGAGTGGAATCTTGCTGTCATGATCCTGCAGGAGGAGACTGGTTCCCACTGCATGAGAGCCTTCGATGATCTTGGAAACATCATGATAGCCACTCGAAAACTCAGTGTCCTCGTGGTTGTCGTCTGGGTGACAATATAGGAATAGATTATTGACTCTCTAGTTGACAGTTTGGAGAGTCTACTTCCATGCCATTTACTTTCGCAGATTCCAAGCACTTCTATGCTATACCTACTCATCTCTTTTGCAATCTGGGCAGCCTTGCTAGGTTCATACATGGTGCGGACGTTCCATGTCCCCATCCTTGCTTTCGATTTCATCGAGAGAGAGAGAGAGAGAGAGAGAGGGGGGAAAGAGAAGAAGACATATCGGCGAATTGGCTTCCCGAAGGCTATCACCAACCGGCGTTATTTCTTCTCTCCGATTCCAGCGAGGAAAAAGTTTGTTTTTACTTTTGATGATTTTTTATGCTTTGAAGTTTCTTTAGTGGTTGGATTGTTTTTACAGGTTAGGGTTATTAGCCCTGTGCCCAACCTTCCCTCTTTTCCCGGGCTCAGGACCGGCTAGTAACTAGTGGACAAGTTTACCAGGCGAGGTTAGTGCGTCTATAACGAAGTTAAATACGAATGGTCATACAGTTAACCGGGCAAGGTTCTAGGACATTATTATAGGTTGAATTCGTGGAGTATTGAGCTGGATTTATATTTCATAAATGTCTCACAAAATGTATGCACTTGTTTTTAATGAACACCATTGAATTATTAAAGAATGATAATTTGTAAGTCATGCGATTTACATTTTTAAAAGCTTCCTATGTTTGGGATGAATTCGCTTACCTCATGTTAGGTAGAACTAATCCTGAAGACGATGAATCTGAAGTATCAAAACCAGTATTCTAAAGAAAATTTTGAGAAAAAACACACAGATATAAAACAAATAGATCAGTACAAGAGCTTAAAAACTTCTTAGTTTTTAGGTAATATGACGAAGCATCGGTTATTTGAACATTTAGAGAATTCACGTGATCACTATTAAGCATAAAAGTTGTGGAGCGAAACTTACCAACCGACCCTTGAAATACAACCACAATGAACGAATTACTTCCAGATTTGTTCCCCACGTCTCGGTTAAACGGATCAAACTCGTAAGACAGTGTGAATATCACTGCTGCCAGGTGCAGTTTCCTGGTTAACAAAGAAAATAATGTGTGACTGAGTGTTTAACCAGCAACTCACGGTTTAATTAATCCTCCATGATGGTATTATATATACTAGGATAATTTTACAATGATAATAAGATGAACAATCTATAATGCAACCTGGTTGGCAAGTTCGGAGTAGGTGAGACAGGAGTGTGACACAGGAGCTATCGGTCGAAATTCAGGTACATAAGTCAATGAGCCAAAACAAACAGTATAACAGTGGAGGGTAGCTAAGGTCGCAGAGATACTGAGGGAAGCGGTGATAGGTGACGGCAGGCAGCAGTTTCGACTTACTCAGGAGAGTGACTTGAATCGAGTAGATAATCACCCTCCAACAGATCTTCAAGCATATAACAACTTACTCCCACCCGGAAAATAAGCATATGTTGACTTGAAAGTGGCATACGGTTCCACAGATCAAGAGGCAGTGTCAACATCCTCTACTGAAATAGCTCGATGGCGCGTACGCCAATCCACTGAAGGGTTTAAGCTCATAAACATCCGTAGTGGTGCCGGCGTTTTACTATATTTCGTTATGACTTAACGAAACTTGGTGACAGCATTCATTTTTCTTGTCTTTCCTTTCGGCAAAACGCCGGATCGCATTTAATAATAATTATCAGAATAGAAAATACAGAATGCGTGTTTTTTTAGGGAAAATGATTACAGGAACTAGATTAACATAACATGTCACAATAAAAAATCAATTAAGATATATAAAAAATATCGTAAACAGAGGATTCAGGCAGCAGTAAAACAATACTATTAACACGAAAACTTAATAAACTTGACGATATGAGCTGCACAAGCTAAAATGGAATGCAGATCATAACTGAATGGTACACCCGATGGTTGGATGTACATTTCCCTCGCATCTTCATTTTGTTTGCGAACACGTTAACTCTACTACACTTACTCCTAAGAACTGCTGCCGAATTAACCAAACCACGACGGAGTACTTCTGAAGCGTCCCCGACTCAACCTTTAAAAAATAGAGAAAAGGATTACAAAAATAACACTGTATGGTGAATGAAAATAAAGAATACCATTGGTTCATTTTTAACTAGAACAAAGCCTTATTTACATTCTGAGTAGACCCAAAACATGATTTTAGTGCAAAATCCTCAACTTTTAGCTATCTTAAAAGAGTAACTTAGACAGTTCTATGTCAAAATTGAGCACTCAAGGAACAGAAAAATGGTGCCATCATTTTACAAGGTCCAAACAATATTCATTGAAGAAATGGCTGCACATACACATTGTAACATACTTGCGGTTGCTTGACCCCAAAACTATTTGGTTACATCTTTCAAGTGGTGTGAGCAATGAATTTATGTGGCTGTGGAACTTCACTCTACAGACTTGCCACTGTAACATGTTATCTACGAGAGCTTGAATTGATCACGCATCAGTTTCCCAACTTTAAAATACTGCTTCTTAACTTGAGCTTTCTGTATGAGACATTGTTCAACAGTCAGTAAATTATGTAATATGACAATAAAATTATTTTTCATTACTAGACACATGAAATAAAAACGAAAAATAACAACCAAGTAACAAACAAAGTCAATGAGAACAGAGGAAGGAACGTCTACAGTGATGATAGCTTTCACATGACTTCCTTATAGTTATTCAAATGTATACAGCCTCAACACCACAGTACGTAGCAGTCCAAGTTTTTAATGCAGCACAAACATTATATTAGGAAGTATATTTCCAAGAATGGCTCCTACATTTATTCATGAATCATAATTTAAAGTCCGGACACATTGCTTAGAAAGGTTACTACAGAAAGTATGATCAAAGATTACGGAAGGAATATCTTATTTTTTGTAATAACTTGTTATATAGAATTTAGGTAATTCGTAGTACCTCTGGTCATGATCATAATGGTTCGAAAAACAACAACTAACATACCTTGGAGTGAGTGACATATTCCATAAAGAGACGGTGTACGGGAGCAGTGTATGCAAGTACATTCCAATACAAAGACCACATACAGAGTGGGATAAAGGTACGATCATCTGACCTTGAGGACTGCAAAAAATAACTCTTGAAATCTGGACGAATCCGCTCTAAAGTATTGAGTTCTGTGTAAATTAAAGTTAAGAAAGTTTATGAAAATACATATACGACACTAGAATTAATCCAACATACTTTTGATACACTGCAGAATTTAGGCATAAATGTATGTTACCTATGTATATCTCGATCCAACCAACTGCGTACGGTTCCACATATTACGCTATGAACCAGATCCACTGTATAAGCGACATTAGTGAACTCTGTCTCCCAAACCTCCATACGATACTAACTAAAGTTAATAACCCGAAGCAATGAACGGTGAGGATGTAGCTCATTAGCTTACGCATTCGACTTTTAAGCAGTGGACTCTCAGTTCTAACTCAACTCCACCTACTTCGACCTGCATAAACTGGTAGCATACTGAAAGCCATAGTATAAAGTGTTTCATAGCCTATAACACTAAAACTGTAACGGGTTGAGTTACAATAATCAATTACATTAAGTACTGAGTGATAAATCGGTACTAAATTATCGTCAGAAATGTTAAAAACGAAAAGTATTCCGCTTCATTTAACAAAATAACAGAAAATTTTATGGAGTTTACTCCTGATCAATCGGTGTTAAAACTAAATTATTTTTGATTTACTTGAAAATATGCAATAATAATTGCTTCAAATGCCACCAGAATGTAGTATTACTTGCTGTTATAATATGTAGACATAAAGTAAATAAAAAACAAAACATGTGGTTCGCATTCAACACCACTTGAATAGTTTTCTGCTTGAAAACTAATGTTATGAACATAGAGTCAAAGAAGAATTTTGTTGAGTAGCATCTGTAGCTAGCTTCAGAGACTCACAAGCAATACTGATCACAGATATCGGTCTAAGTCCAGTCGGTATCAATATAAGACTTGATATTACTGCACCATATGAGCACATGAAGGTAAGGGGAATCACAAAGAAGAAAAATAGAGAAGAAAGTAATTAAAAGTAAAAAAGCCACAAAATAGGGGTAAAAGGAATAAAACAATGAAGACACTCGGCAATACTGCCAAGATGAAGGTAACGTGTGGATGCATCTACACCAGTGTGGAGCTGTGGCTCAATGGTCTAGGTTGATGACCATCAGCCACTGGGCCGCGAGCTCGAAACTCGCTCTACCTACCGAGGTTTGGGGAGCCAAGTAATATAGCTAGCCTTTACACAATAGGTGTGGTTCGCCGCTTACTGCATGGATGTGCATAAAGTGTCTGAGTGCGCTTCGCTTTTCGTTTCGTTTCGCGTCTACAACCACCAATTTCGGTTTTCGCGTGGACTCCAACCATAAAGCGGACGTTTCCCCATAAAAATTAGACAAGCTGTTATAGAATTCATAGACTGACGTTATGTTTTAGTCTGGCCGCATATGACCTTTTTATAGCTTAAACCTACTTCAGATGAAGCAGAGTAATAGATTAGACGGTGACTAGGTATGCATAATACATATCCTATCCAACTGAGTCGATGAAAGTTCACAACCCCATCAACTGACTTCCTTGGAAATGCACTTGAATTACACTTTACAAATCGGTGGTCCCACAATACACGGTGTACGGTACAAAGGCAACAGTGGTCTAACACCTCAAACCTCCCCATGTCCGACACCTTTAATGCCCATTTCTCACAGTCAAATAGCAGAAGAGAAAGAATTGCCTCCCACTGGATACAGTGCTTGATGGATAATCGGATACCAAATCAGTGACGTAGATGGAGTGAATTGGAAAAAGTCAAACAAGAATTTCCTGTTCATATAGAGATTTCATTGGTCACTAACCCATTAATATTGATTCCACTTCCTGATTAATTGAAATGGTCAACACATTTAACCAATTCACTCCATATTGTTAGACGGGGCGCACAACATAGACCAGTTCCAGAGAAAAAGATTGCATTCGGGTGGTGAGAAACGCATCCCAAACATTTTCAAGTTGTTAGCCAAGGTGTCCAGAAAACAATCTTGTTAGCAACTTTACCTAATACGATTATGTCATTTGCATACCCCAGGTCTACGAAGGAGTTTGTAGTTGAATGAGAATCACCTATAACCCTCATCATTCACGCATTCCTGTCTGCAAGTAATTACCAGATTCTTCGTATGAACCGAAAAAACTTAAATATTATTAGTAAAAGGAACTAAAATGAAAGTAGAGTTCTAAAAAAGTTAATTTATGTACTAGACGAAAACACAACAGTTTCCACTAATCGACTAAAGCAAGGACACAGAATAAACATACCAGAGATATCCGCTTTTTGGTGAACACTCAATTTCATCATTTTCCCATGGAAAAATTTAAACCAGTTTTTTTGAGACTAGAAAATAATACAGCGATAAACATAATTACGGTTTTAAACAAAAGAGAGAGATAGCTGAGAAAATTAATGACTACAATTCTAGAACTTTTATTTTATGATGAATGTAAAACAAAGAGAAGCTGTTTCTACGAAAGAGGTAACCTCATGTCTTCCATTTCTTTGGAAATACGAATTCCAAGACAACCAATATTATTTACCCAATGCCTAAGTTTTCTGAACCACATATCAACTCGGTTTGCATATCAAGAGATAGATTTAGAAGATTCTACGACGACACATTTACAAAATCATCGAAGTCTTAAAGTAATACTAGTCAACAGATTGAGGCCAGTCGCAATCACTAAAAATATCACCACATGACAAATAATACTACTTTGGGTATTGTTTCATTGTGAGCAAAAGTAGCCTGATCAGTAGCTGCTTCAGTGACACAGTGGTCAGAATTGCACCTCGGAAAGACTCAACGAGCTACACTGGCTGCAGCGCTTCTGCCCTGACGTCCTACTATGCCAGACAGGTCTGTTGGATAATGGTAAGACGAATAGCAGTTACAATAACAGTGTAAACTTTAACGCCATGACGGGGGGTCTGAGGGCTGAGTCATCCTGCTGGCTGGACAGGGTGCGAAGGCAGTAAGATGTTCTCCACAGGTGACCAACAGCAACATGCTGATGATGCCTTGCCATCGGATTGAGAGCGGATTAAGAAAAGGTTGGCTGAGAAAATCGCACACTTATTTGGCCTGCTATCTTTCGGTAGAGGCAATGACTGTTTTTTATCTGAATGTAAACCAATCAAAGCGCAACTACGAGCTTTCAAAAAGGAGACACGCGATCGGCCTTAAGCAGTTGCCATAGGGATCTGCGGTTACACGGATCTTTTCCTCCTTCAGCTACTCTACAAAAACAACTTCCACGATGTGTACAGCTAGGAACTGATAACCACCTGCACGCTTCCTGTAAAATACATCTCTCTCCTCCATTACCTAGACTTTTGAATACCAGTATTCAGCACTTCACAACTTCACCAACCATACATTCTGCGAACATTGCTAACGATCCAAACCAGCAAGACTCTATTCCTAGTCTCTTAAAACCCCAATGTCGGTTTCACATTAGATCCTTCAACGTCCGAAACCTACGCCAAGTCGGACGGCAGGAATCTTTTGTAAATGTCTGAAATCTCTGACCATGGATAAGTGCAGTGACTTTGAGACACATGTACAAGATCTTAGAGTGATTATTAGATTGATATCACCTGACCTGTGCTGCGAATCTTCAGAATTCACCTTAGGAGTATCCGGAGACCCGATGGTTAGCTCTTGTGAACTCGCTGGTGTGGGAATGGCGTTGAAGTGCAGCGTAGAAAGTGCGCTTCCGACTGGACAACACACACACACATCTGTATGATGTTCAACTAGATGGATGTAAGAAATTAGAAAGAGCTCAAGATCAACCAATGGCCATTCATAATCTCGCCCCACGCACCCACCGACTGCAGTTATCATGATGCAAAGGATGAATTCCATGAGAAGCTGTCAACTTTGCTACAGAAATCAAAACGTTCAGATGTAGTCATAATAACAGATGACTATAACGCCCAAATAGGAAAGCTGAGCTGAGTCAATTGGAAAGGCATCTTGGTGGTATTTACGAAATCCCATGCCAACGAACTGACAACAGTGATAGTCTATTGCAATTTCGCTCCGATTATCAATTGTTTGTGGCCAGCACTAATTTTACACATGAGGAGAGACAGTCTCACATGACATCTGTCGACATCAAACCAACGATGGACACAGATTGATCATATTTGTATAAGTCATCATTGGAGGCGAGGGATTGATAGAGGATTGCGGCTGTTTCTGGAGTAGTAGTTTGAACTTCGATCAGGCGTCAGTACATGCTCGTGTATATGTGCGCTATACTGGTGACAGGAAACAGGAGGCGGTAAGGCCCATCTGTGCTCGATTGGTAGATGAGGATGTCAAGTACGCATGTAGAGAGGAGTTAGCTAAGCATTTATCTGAACATGACAGCAATGCACATGCTGAGGAGACCCGATGTGATATTAAGTCTGTTGTAGAAAAATCGGTAAAGATAATTGGTAATCTACACCAGAAGGTTAGAAAGGTGATTGGATTTCCGCAAGGTCATCGGAACTGATTGATGCGAGGACTAATTCCAGTTGGTTGTGACCACGATGAAGAGCGAAAGCAACTGAAACGTAAGTTGACCAAGAGTCTTCACAATGATTGTGAGCATTGGTGGGTAGTGAGGGGGAGAGAGCTGAAGAAGGCATCAGAGTTGTGCGACACACGGCACCTATTTATGATAATTAAGTGTACCGTGGAGAAGACGACGATGGTGAGTGAAACTATTACCGAAAAGGATGGAACGCGATAGGTTGGTAGAAAGTTGGACAGAGCACTTCGAAGCAGAGTTCAACTGGTCCCCAGAAACGCCACAGTTTTTTAGCACTTGGTCTGAACCTGAATGGAATGCAGATGTTGGTCCCCCTACTTTCCTTGAGATTGAAAAGGCTGTATGGAACCTGAAACGATGTAAAGTAACAGCAGGACCTGACAGTTTGCCACCTGAAGTTTTCAAGGATGGAGGTAAGAAACTACTGATTCGAGTGACGGAGGTACTAAATAGTGTTTGGGAATCAGAGGGAGTACCATTAGACTGGTCTACTTCTCTGATAATCCCAGTCTTTATGCTTTTTGTGAACGGGGAGAAATCTAGTGACGACCGTAGTGGAGTTAGTTTGACTATTATCGTGTTTAAGATCCTAGAGTCCATAGTAATCCAACGCCGAACTGCAGCTCAAGAAAAGTCAGCAGGTTTCAGACAGAGTTGGACGAGAGTGCATCGATCATATATTGATCATACGACAGATTGTAGAACACAGGCACACCTACCGACCAAAGACCAACACTTGTCTTATGTGTTGACCTGAAGGCGGCATTTGACTCAGTCGACTGTGAAGTGTTGTGGCAGTGTCTGACTGAACGGAGTACAGCGCAAGTATATAACGCCAACCAAGGTTCTCTACTAAAAATCACACAGCCATGTCGAGTTCTGTGGAGAGTTGTCATCAGAATTGATCCCAACTAGTGGTGTCGGCCAGGAATGCCCAATATGACCATTCGTATTTAACTTCGTTATAGACGCACTAACCTCGCCTGGTAAACTTGTCCACTAGTTACTAGCCGGTCCTGAGCCCGGGAAAAGAGGGAAGGTTGGGCACAGGGCTAATAACCCTAACCTGTAAAAACAATCCAACCACTAAAGAAACTTCAAAGCATAAAAAATCATCAAAAGTAAAAACAAACTTTTTCCTCGCTGGAATCGGAGAGAAGAAATAACGCCGGTTGGTGATAGCCTTCGGGAAGCCAATTCGCCGATATGTCTTCTTCTCTTTCCCCCCTCTCTCTCTCTCTCTCTCTCTCGATGAAATCGAAAGCAAGGATGGGGACATGGAACGTCCGCACCATGTATGAACCTAGCAAGGCTGCCCAGATTGCAAAAGAGATGAGTAGGTATAGCATAGAAGTGCTTGGAATCTGCGAAAGTAAATGGCATGGAAGTAGACTCTCCAAACTGTCAACTAGAGAGTCAATAATCTATTCCTATATTGTCACCCAGACGACAACCACGAGGACACTGAGTTTTCGAGTGGCTATCATGATGTTTCCAAGATCATCGAAGGCTCTCATGCAGTGGGAACCAGTCTCCTCCTGCAGGATCATGACAGCAAGATTCCACTCAAAAAGAAGGAAAGTCACAAGCATACAATACTACACTATGCACCTACAAATAATGCAGATGAAGAGAAGAAGGAGGAATTCTACAGACAATTGCAATCAGTACTGGACAAGACCCCACCCACCCCAGATGGCGACATCACAATCCATTCTAATGGGTGGGGTGACATGAATGCCAAACTCGGAGCAGACAACACAGGAAGAGAACCAACCATGGGTGGAAAAGCACTCGGTGAAATGAAGAATGAGAATGGAGAACAGTTTGCGGATTTCTGCGCATTCAATGATTCGGTGATTGGAGACACTGTGTACAAACACACAAGGGTATTCACAAGGCAGCAACATGGATTTCACCAGACACCAGGACACACTACACTAAGAATCAGATCGACTTCATCTCAATGTGAAGAGAGTGGAGACGCAGCCTACTGGACACAGGATCACATCAAGAGGGGGAGCAGATGTAGGTCCACACCACTCACACCACTACATAGTGCAAAGAACCTTCAAAATCAAGTTGAAAGCCTTCACAGAAGCCGGTGATAGACCACAGTTGAAGTTCAACACACAGAACAGAAACTGAACTGAAGGATGGAACTACAAAAGACATCTTCACATCAGCCAGTAATCAGGACAAAATGGGAGACATTGAGCAACACCCCTGAAGGATCGGGTGTGGAAGAACACTGGAACTCTTTGAAAGAGATGTGGAAGGAAACCTGCATGACCGTATAAGGAAGGAAGAAGAAGAGGCAAGACAAGGAATGGATCTCGGCGGATACATGGAAGCCGATAGAGCAGGGAGAGGAGGATGGTGAAGCAGAGGATAAACCAGTGCAAGGATGCCCAACGACAAGAGGAACTGAGCACAATGTATAAAACACTGGACAAAGAAGTGAAGAAGAGTGCACGCAAAGACAAAATACACTTCTAAGACACATTGGCAAGTGAAGCAGAACAGGCTGCAGGTAGGCGATCCGGGAAAGCAGCAGGACCAGATGGAATTCCGCCAGAAGCACTGGAGACAGAGATACAGAGACAACAGCGGATATGTTCACACCACTACTGCAGAAGGTCTGGAAGGAAGGAAAGGCACCTGGTGATTGGAAGCAGGGCTACCTTATAAAACGCCCAAAGAAGGGTGACCTAAGTCTTTGCAAGAACTGGCGTGGAATCATTCTGCTGTCCACCCGAAGCAAGCGAAATATTATGCCGCATCATCCTGGAGAGGCTAAAGGATGCGCTGGATTCAAAACTACGACCGGAACAGGCTGGCTGGCTGGCTGGCTGAATTCAGGGAGAACAAATCATGTGTGGATCAAATTGCAACGCAACGCTACGCTAAGCATCATCATAGAACAGAGTTTAGAATGGCAGTCAACTCTCTACCTCAACTTCATCGATTTTGAAAAGGCCTTCGACAGCATCGACCGAGAAGTAATTTGGCAGTTGTTCCAACACTACGGTTTTAGTGCCACAAATCTTTATCAACCTCATTCAACAGCTATATGAAGACGCCACATGCCAAGTGATTCACAGTGGAAAGCTCAGTGATGCCTTTGAGGTGAAGACAGGAGTAAGACAAAGGTTGCCTACTATCACCCATGATCTTCCTGATTGTGGTTGACTGGACTATGCAGCAAACCGTGGGGAGCTAGAAGATGGGCATACGCTGGCTGGAAGGATGAAAAGACCACAGAAGAAGATTTGGATTTCGCCGATGATAATTAATGTCTAATGTCTTGTCGCACAAACTCGAAGATCTACAGGCAGAAACTAACAAGTTGACAGAAGAGACAGCGAAAACGGGACTTCAAGTGAATATGGAGAAGATGGAGGTGATAAAGACACACCACCAACAAGCATCAATCGCCATTAACGGGAGAAATCTAAAGGAAGTGGTCTCTTTCACCTACCCATCTAGGCAGCATCGTTTCAACTACAGGCGGCACAGGCACAGATGAAGACGTCAAAGCCAGGATCGGAAAATCAAAACAGGCTTTCACTAATCTGAAATCAGTGTGGAGATCTACTGCACTCAGCACAAAGAACAAGATCCGGATTTTCAAGACTAATTCGGTCAAGTCAGTGCTTCTATGTGATGGTTAAGAGATTTGGAGGCTTACGAAAAGCATTTGCAACAAACTACAGACATACGTCAACAGCTGCTGTCTACGGTCACTCAATACTGAAGATCAGATGACCAGAATGATAAGAATAAGCAACAAGGAACTCACTCTGGCCTGACAACGAACCAACCAAGAACCTATCACCCAACAAATATGCAGAAGAAAGTGGAGATGGATTGGGCATACACTGATAAGACCATCCGGGGACATCACGCGCCAGGCTAGTCCATCGAGTGGAATCCAAAGGAAAAACGACGGATTGGGCGTCCGAGGCGAAGGTGACATTGAGGAAATGATGTGAGGAAGAAATGAAAGCTTGTGGGCATTGGTGGCGCCAGGTTGGAAAGACTGCAGGGAAGAGAGTGAAATGGAGACGTACTAGTGAAGCCCTATGTTCCACTAGGAACCCAAGGGAAAAAATAGTAATAGACGTATTAATGGACATAATCTTATGTACCTGCCACTTCACAGGGATTAATGTATCATCTGAAGGTTATGCATGTAGTTGACTTGGAGTATGCAAACGATGTTGTCCTGGTAGGTGAAGGCGCTGACAAAATGTAAGGTGTTCTGGAAGCATTGAGCAGAAACCTGAGTATGTTTGAGTAGTATTCGGTTCGCACCTGTCAAAAGTAAGATGATGCTGTTGGACTGGTTTACTCCAAGTACTCCCAGTTTAGTGATAGAGAGTGAAGTGGTGGTGTATGTCAGTGGGAAATTGTATCAGCTCAAACGGACTGTTTGCTGACGAAATCTCAGCTATTGTACAGTAGGCTCGTTTTGCATCAGCTAACTTGCACTATTTGTGGCGCCAACAGGCGAGACATCCGACTATCTATCAAAGGACGAGTATACTGCGCTGTAGTCGGTTGTGTCCCGTTATGCATCTGTGAGACATGGGTGTTAAAATAAGAAGACACGAAGCGATTACTGGGTTTTGATCACAGGTATCTTCGTAGTGTTGCTCACGTATGGTGGAATCACCAATGTGAGGAATGTAAAAGTATTGCGAAGGGTAATAGGCAAGACAAGCAAGTCGGTCGATAGGGTTGTATACCCTCGACAACTGAGGTTACTTGGGCATGTGTTGAAAATTCCAATGCATAATCTGTATCGAGGAAAGGTTGGAATAGGTCAGAAGAAGTTTCAGGGTGGTTAGACTACGACGCAGCTCTAGTGCATGGAACTTATGTATGAGCCATGTAGGGATGCAGAATACTAAACTGGAGTCCCTGAGATTATAGGAATCAATAGTTCCAAACTCAATGAGATGGTTGGGAATAAGTCACAGTGGCGCACAAGTATTCACACCGTGATTTCTTCTAAAGTTTGAACATTTTCACTAACCTTTATCATCAGAATGTTTCTTTTCCCATGCCTCTTTGTCTTTCATATCAGCTTCTGATTACTTTTTCTTTGCATGCTACTATGAAGTGCGGCAACTAGAACCGATGCACTCCTGTGAGAGGTCCTATGTTAATTTTTTTACTGGGCTAAAAAGGGACATACATCGGAAAAAGTCTAATAAGTCTGCCATCTGTACGTCTAACTAGCTACGGTCGAATTCGGTAGCAAAGTATACTTTAATAAGTTTTCCTATTTTCACAGCAAGAGCTCACAGAGAACATGACTGAGAAAAACTGAAAGACTAAAATAACAGACGGTTCGGCATTAGAGATGGATAGCTAGTATATGCAACTACGAAAATGGGATACATTTCCAGAATAAACATACATTCCCCCTACTCGAAATTCCACCTGCACACTTGCCCAGGTAGCTCAGCTTATCGGCTGGGAAGAAACGCGAAACGTGGTTACTCGCTTTGCCATTGCTTAGGACTATGCATTTTATCTAAGTCAGTCAATACAGTATTCATATAAAAATAACTGCTTGAAAACAGTACGGAAACCAAATAATCAGCTCACTTGATACAGTTGAACGACTTCGAGAACTTCAAAACCTCTTATTTAAAATGATAAGTAATTACGAAAGAACTCATCCTGATCCTATAAAAAGGAAACAGTATCTGAAAGGTACCGACCCTAGAGAAAACAGGTAAATCAAGCTGTTAAAGCAAAGTTAAATAATCTTAAACCTGAAAAAGGCCAGAGATTACATGACACTAAACTCAGAAACAGAACAAAGTATGAATAAATGAGAACACATAGCCGTATACGGATCTCTTTTGTAGACAGTTCACCACATGCAGAGGGGGTTGTCATAATATCGAACTGCTTAAACCCTAGTATACAGATTAGTGTTCAAACTAATGACGCAAAGGTCGCAACCCCAGCTACGAATTTAATGAATTAAAGTTTCAAAAAAGTAAAGCTGGAGATAGATAACACATAAAGAAACATACAGTCAAAAACGAAGAACGACAGAGGGAAAGCAAACAAATGAAGATTGGGAAACATTCGGTATTTTAGTAAGAACCAAAAATATATCAAACATTCCTACCGACCTTGAGGAGACCAGATATGACACCTAAAATCCCCTTCTCAACAAGCATAAACGGTTGTATATCCGGTTTACCAGTGAACATAATGGCCTGAATAAGTTCAAGTGCAATTCAGGAAGTAAAAGAAATAGCAACATTGTGATAATATTAAAGTCGGTGACAGATTTCTGCCTGCTCGTTACGCAGTTAGTCCATATGGCCATTAGACAAGTAGGGATTAGAAAAGCGGACCATGACACGAACACTCGAATATACTCACTCAAACACTCCATATGGAAATACAATAAACCAGAGCCCCAAAGTATTCAGTTTGTTCAAAAACAAGCACCACCAAGACAGTGTAAGCGCAAGCTCAATGAGAAATATAAGGTAAATATAAATCTAGGATACAACTAGAATAAACCTACCTTTTCAATAAGGTAGATAACGACAATCCATGCGAAAACATCACATGAACATTTGTTGCAATTACCATGTGAATTATGAATAGCAATTTTGTAATCATTTGCCACTCCTGAATACAGAATCAAATTTTCTAAAACAATATCCACAAAGTAACCACATGCATTTAAAGAGCTCCGTGACTTCAATCCCAATGTCTCGTTTACCAGCACACCATATTCTGACAACCCCTTAATAGTAAAGAAAGGCGAATTTTACCTGTTTTCTCACAAATAAAGTTAAAGACTTTCAATACTGCTATCCATGTTTCTAGGTGAACATGCAAGAGGTGTCCAGTTACCTAATTAGACAGTGATACGTAAAAATAACTCTACTTCAGGATTCAGCGAACATGATAAGGGTCCAAGAAAGACCAGGATAGAACGAATGCGTGCAACCATTCTCACAATTACATGCTTTTCAAACTCTTTGGTACTAAGGAGAAATATATAAATAAACGCTTACATCGTGGAAGAATAGAGACATGAAAGGAGGAAAGATACATCGTTCCTAAGAACTAAAAATTTGATTAAGGAATCGACTTTTACCTGCTGATTCGTTCTCATATTCCGTTGGATATTTTTTCAAACATACTATCCTTTCTCTACACACAAAACACCAGTATTACAATCCAGACTAACAAACCTGAGTAAATTTAGGATTTGCAGAGGGTCTGTCCACTGTGGAGCAGTAGTAGCATTTTCAAAGTGTCTAATAAGTTAGAGCATGTACCAGTGAACTCACGACAGAAATGAGACGGAATCTAGTGAATCACATGACAATCCGAAAACTGGTAATGAAAGTCGTAAAGCTTTAGGAATTAATTGAGCGAGTTAGTGAATACCATCTATTTCAGCCAGTAGGTCTACGTCAAAGTCTTCAGAAAAAACAGCACCTGTCCCAACGAACTCTGGCGAGTCTGGAGGTGTCCAAAAGGTGGGATCAGACATTTTTCAAGCACAGTTAAGCAAAATTTGCATTAGTGACCTTGACCAACAAGGTAAATATTTGAAATGGATATCTCGTAACTGTGATGCAGTATTCGACACGCAACAACAATCTCGCACATTTGCTTGGGGCCTTTTCACAGTAGACATTAGTTTATTTACAGTTTCATTATTATTCTAGAAAACCAAAAATTTATCAGGGCGTGCTATGGCTGAATAACGGTGTTTATCACCGAAAAACAGCTTTCAACCATATCGTAACAGTCGATGCATTTCACTCAATCAATATGGGCATGAGGACCGCAGCTTACAAAAATTTGTCGGTTTTCTCAAATCGAAAATACTTCCTGCTGGTGCATTGTCTGGACAGTTCAACTGCTACAACCTTTGACACTATTCAGAGATCATTCATCAAGAAACAACTTTCTTGATCTGTACGTAAGCATTTGGAGTATTTGGTTAGAGTTACCGTTAGGGTGACCAGGGCTAAATATGAAGCCTCTAGCGGTAAGCTACCTCCTATATCCTTTCCCCTCCTTGTCCGTTACATAGTTTGTTTTCCACGATTAAATTTTAATGCTACAAAAACTAGCTCACAAGATACAACTCATTGAATGATGTCCATAGATGGTCAGAAACCAGTGTGTGCTGAGAAGATGAGCGCGATAGTGCCCCCAGCCTCCAAGGTCCCTGTATCACTGCCACACCAGACGCAGCATTTACCGAAACCTGTGAACTCGTGTACTCAGAGTGAAAGACCTTAGTCTGCAAACATCCCGTTGTTAAAAAAGCAGAAGATGCTGATCATGGGCTTACCGTTAGGCTGGAATACATCGTATGTCACAGGTGACCTCAACCCATGAAAGCAGACTATGCGGTCGTCAGCGAAAGTGAAACCTCTGACGACCACAGTGTTTGGAACGCATCAGTGTCGGAGGCTCAAAAAGCCTTTTTCTGAAATGGGTGCACTATAACTGTGATAAAGGCATGCCAAGTCGGCACAAAACCTCCATGAAAGAGCACCAGTGTAAGTGGATGCAACATATATCTCCAGAATATAGGAAACTACTTGCTATTACCACCGCAAACTAAGGAACCCACCACAAAGCAAGATATTGCGACATTCGAGCTAACGCATCTACCCATAGAAACTCAGCAAGCCTTACAAGAGAGCAAAGATGTCACCCATGGGCATAAGAAATTGTCAGTTATCACCCATGTGGAGCACCAAGGAGGTCTTCGCTTCTTGTGTCAATACAAGGCGGCAAATCCAATGAAATTGAACCTGAAAAAATAGGTTGTGTCGGGGACAAAAGGACGGAAGCAAGCATGGGAAAGAATAGAGCAAAATCATTGGCTACATAACCCAATAACCCGCACCCACGGGAAAAACAGCGGACTCCTCCACCCTGTTCACTGTCCCCACACTAACAGAGCCATTCTTAGATAAAAGGGAGCAGTCTGATAAGGAGAAATGTGATAACCACTGCTAGAAGCTGGAGTGGAACCAGTTTCAGTAGGTCACTGCTGGCCCTCTCCAGGAAGTAGGGCAGTCTGAGATAAGCTGTCGCTACTCAGGGTGTCATCGATGATAGTGAAACAGTTGAAGGACACACAACTACTGTCGTGACAACTAGACATCACATGCCACTGTATCATAAAGGTGAAGCCATGTAAACCACGGGTCACCACACACGTAGAGGAAAAATTTAACCCTAGTGGTCTTCACAAAGCTGCAACCATGGCGGTGCATTGGATACCTGGATCAGCGAGAGGATCTACAAAATTTGATCACTAACTCAATAATGCCAACCAGTGGGGATAGTTAGCGACGAAAGTCTGCCAACAGCGCAAGAGGATCGTCAAGACACTCACTTCAGAGCGTCTCTTCACCCAAGTTTCTAGCTGTACGCTTCGACTCAGCGACGTCACCCATAGAGGACCTTGCAGGGTGGTAACGTGTCAAAGATCAAATAGGAGATGCCGTACGATGATGTGAAAGAAACCCACTAGACTGGAAGTTATTTACAACTTCCAAGAGCACTATAGACAGTACTAGTCACCAAAGAACTATCCAGCTAATCAATGGCCGCAGACATAATGACGAACACTTCCGTCATATCAAAACCAGAATGTCAAGAAGTCCCTAGGAGACTGGGAATCAGAACAAATATATAAATATTTTATTCTCAAATTAAGAGTTTAACATGAGAGAAGCCGGTTTACAGGCATCATCAGATTGATAATCTTAACGAAATCTCAACCATCTGGGCTGGCCTGAATGACACAGAAGGTATCGGATCAAAGTTTATCATGTTATCAAAAGTGGCTGTAGGTTATGAAAAAAACAGAAAAATATCACTTCACAGTACATATATTTGAGTTTCGGTTGGCTCAACTCGCCATTCTTTTTCACAATAAATTGATGCCAAAATCGTACAATTTTCGACGTTTGCGTTACATATGACCTAGACGGTAACTTGGTGGTGTAAATCCAATGCGACAGTATAGCAACCTTCCAGCAACTTCCCATACCTTGTCAAACCCGGAACGTAGCTTCGTTACGTGCTTCTACGGTAATGTAAGCGGTCTTGGAAGTAAAAGGCCGGGTATAAGATAACTGTGCCCTCAGCTGTGCGCAGGAACACTTTTCGTCACGGAAACAGCTTTCATCAGACACCTTGGACCAGGAAATATCTTCGCCAAACACGGTCCTGTTCAGAGGGAATAGACAGCTAAGAGGAGGAGAAGGGGTGGACGTGCATATCAGCAAGCCTCCAAAAACCAAGGTGGCGACTAATGGTCAGTCAATCGCCGGACTACTTGTAGTGGGGTACCAACCAAGGTACCCGCAGAAGGTGGACCACGGGCCCCCCTCCGTGTACAACACAGCATGAGAAACGTTTGCTCGCCAAGATTTTGACATGCATCTCGGTGGCCTATGACCACGTAGTCTTGGCTGGAGACTTCAACACGCCGGAACACAACCAGGGATTTGAGGTAAGCTGTAGAAATAAAACTTCAGTACTGAAACTTCGAAACACATTTAGGGCAGAAAGACTAGCAGAGAACGTTGGGAAAAACGGTGGGGACCACATGGAAAAGGATCACCACCTGACTACCTTCAAACAGACGACGTCAGCGTCCAACCCTCCCTCACCCCTCCTAGGGAAATGTAATGGCGCATTGGTGAGATTTTCATCGGTGACCAGGGAGAAACTGACAGTAGCTGAACCAGAAGCGTTGTGATGTTGCCGGAGGGCAGGCTACCGGCTCACGACTAATGAACTTCTGGATTATCTTTGATCACAGGAACGCCACTCTCTGTCGACAAACGAAAGCAGGATACACTCCAAGGATATTATCTGGAGCACTATCGAAAAGAGCGTTCTAAAAACAAGCATATAACCATCCCTCAAACGCTTCTGGGTTGCGCGAGCAACCTTCGTTTCATTGGGGTTCACCACTGGTGGTTCACTCCGCCATTGTATGGTGCTGGACTGTCGACAACGTGGCATTGTTTTGCTGTTCCTGACATTTTGTTGTGGCTCAGCTTCAGGTTTAGCAGTGACTTGACTGATTGTCCTTTGGTTGTCTTCTGGGAACGTCTGTTGATTGATTTGATTCCTGTAGACAGGGTTTTTACCCACGTTTTTGAAAATATTCTTGTTGACTCTCAGGGACTTGACAGTCCTGTTTAGTTAAATTTGGCTGCGTAGTAAGTCTTCCGTGCCAGAGAAACGTTTGGACTGTATAGTTGTCATGCGGCCTCGTTGAGGTACCTCTGTAACCCTGAAATTACTTTTTGTTGTCCAGTGGTGACACAGCTTTGACACAAATCCATCAAAGGTTTATCACGCCAAATCGTGTTTTGATACTGCTGAAATATAGTCTGTAACTGTGCGCGACTCAAGAAAGTTTGGAAAACTATGCATTGGAACGCAGCAACTTTTCTGGATCGGTATGACTTAGTTCCGTCGAATTGTTTCCCGCGTTCAGACTGAAATAATTGGATTTTGGTAGTTACAAGTACCAGTGGTACACTTCCCTCATGGAACCTGACATCCTCAGCTGCAGGAAACTATGCAACTCAGGTCTCATAAGTGGTCTTAGTGACAGGCGCGAACGACAGAGAAACCTGGCAAAACAGCTGGTCTGGGGTCTGGAAAGCCGAGGTCGCCAAGAAAATCGACTAATACGGATATGAACCTGATCGCATGACCGGATCGAGAACCCTTGAGCAATAGTGAGGTGGCAGAGCTGCTGAGTAGCAGATTCGATGATGCTTCCACCACCAACATATAATACAAAGAAGTCGCAGGACCGTGAAACAAAGCTATTGAGCGTAAAAGATTTCGCCAGATCAAGTGTTTCGGAAATTCTCAACGCCCGGAGAATGAAACTCTTCAACCTGCGACGAAACAGGACCAGTGATCCTGCGGAATTTTGTCGGATCGCTAAGCCTACTCATCTGCAATCTGTTCATGTACTCGTTGAAATTAAGTCAATCTCCTGAAGAATGGAAGCGTGCTAACTCTCTCCAGTCATCAAAGAAGGAGAGAGAAAAAACCCATACCCATCGTTGTCATTACTCTCTGTACTATCCAGGGCACTTGAATACCCGTTGCAGATCATGTTTGGGACTAACTAAGTGGCAAAAACATCGCTCATCCCACCCAACACGGCCTCTGAACCGGATGGTCACTTGCCACAAAACCGATGATCACTTGTGATGACTGGACCACTGGATGGGACAGCAAGCAATCAGTCCATGTCATCTTTCTGAGCCTGGGCGAAGCTCTTGACAGCTTCCAACACTACACCAAGCTTGTTCAGCTTGCAAAAGTGCCATTAAGTTACACAGAATGATTTTGTTACATATCTAGAGGATACAGTATTCTGTACCATAGTAAACACGATTCGACCAACCTGGAGAAAAACAGGAGTTTCTCAAGGGGCCATTCCTAATTTAACTATTCATCAGTTATCTTACGGTGCACCGTCCTGGCATCAAATTCAACTGGGGCAGGAATAGGTAGATTAAATTGAAATAACTAAGTATTGACTACTA